AGGGAGGGAGAGGGAGGGGGAGGGAGAATCCCAAGCAGGCTCCAAGCTCAGAGTGGAGTGCAACACAGGGTTCAAATTCACAAACCATGAGATCGTGACCTGAGCCAAAACCAAGAGTCCAAAGCTCAACCAACTGAGCCACTCAGTCACCCCCAGGCACATAATTTTTACAACTTTTAAGTTTTATACAGCAAGCAAATCCCAATGCATATACTACCTCACCATACAAAGAATGTGATTATGTAGAGGTCAAATCATGTTCCCCTTGTACAGTGACATCTATGGTAATTTTCTACTTCTATAACACAGAATGCCTAGAAGACGGTTCTACTCAATCAACACGTATTCAAGGAGAATCCAATGAGTGCAAGCCATACAGCAGATGCTATGGTCCTTGTTCCTGACATCTACTGTTATTTTTATACAAATCTTCTGAATAAGACATTGTATTTCAGGTCTCTTTAGCAAATAAAATTTATGCCAGTCAATTTGACTTTAAGATTTCCTCCTTATAATAGGGATCTTTGATGTTACTGCTCCTCCTAACTATACATTTGCCTCACTAGTTGTCAAATTCTACTGGTAATGTCTTTGCCTAGTGCTGAAATGGCATGAATAAAGACACTGGGTACAGACAACAGTCCGAGTCTTACAGAGCCCAAGAGGAAAAGAAACAAGAACATGTGGGAGAATGAATTCTAGAATGGCATTTTTACTTGACATAACGCTCCTTTTTGGGGGGGAGGAAAAAAAAGACTCATGACTTACAAAGAGGACATTACAACTCTTAGATCATCACCAATCCAATAGGAATATAAATGGTAAATAGGAGATCGTATTTCATTTGGAAACCTTAACTGGCAGAAATTCTACCTTCATAGTGGATAAGCCAGAAGAAAAGAAGTTAACTGCAGGCTCCATAAATACACATTTTAACAAAAAGGCAGACAAGGAGTAAAGGGAGAAGGAGAGCACATTTGCTCAGAACTACTGCGCCCTGATTTAAAGGAGAAATTCTATAATCTGCAATTTGCTAACAAAAGGGGCAGAAGGCATTAACCTAGATATTAACAAAGTAGTCAATTAATACTACCCTGTAAACATATGCCTTCATTTTTTCCACCAAGGAAAATGATGGAAAACAACAAAACAGAGTAGAATCCCCGATATACTCTTAGGTAGAGGCAACGAGGTAAAGAGTGATAGGATTAACCTATCAGATACATCCAAATATAGTACTTACTGTTTCCCTCAAAGTAGTTACCTTGGAAGGACAATTCTAATACGGTCAACATTTCTTAAAATTCCTGTTAGACTTGCAGAGACTGTGCAAATTATTTTTAAATGTTAAGTTTATCTCCATTCAGTAATGTTCCATGCGGTCTGCAATTTCTTACCCAGAAGAGTAGTCCTGGCACTTGAATAGCTTACAGTTTCAAGAAGGGCACAGCTGTATGTGTAGATACTTTCGATATACTCTCTGCCCTTTCCCTGATTTTAGTTTGTATTCTTGCATTATTGGTCCATAGTGGTCTTCCTCCACTAGACAGGTAAACACCTCTGAGAGTAGAAACCGTGTCAATTACCTTTGCACCATCTCCACAAACGACCCAGCAATGTAATCTGTACAGAGTGTGCATTTAACAAGTGTTGGTTTAGGGAGAAAATGTCTTTTTATTTAATAATGACACCTGCTCAGCAAAATTCACCGTAAGGTAGGTTTGCCTTGAAACTTATCCAAGGGCATTTAGTCACTGCAGTACCTAAGTAGGCTCGCCTCTGCCAGTCCTAACGTCAGCACTGCACTGAGGCTTGGGCTCTGGAGGTGTAAGAGCAAGAACATAAGCCCAATTCGCTCCCAATTACTCTCTAAATGTTATACATCCATATTATCAAGTACATCCCTATCGATTACATGGGAGAAAAATCCCTCCTTCAAGAACTGATCTCATCTACTAGCTAAACAAACTACAGTCTCAGTCCACCAGGGTAATTTTGAAGCCACAGTGGGAGTGCAGACGGTAATCGATACGTTTATTCCTACTGAGTTCATTATGATGGTTACCCAACAGCAGAGTACCCAGAACGATACTACTTGTCATGAACCCAGGGTCATTCTTGACAGAAGCATTTTGCTTACTGAATTTAGATAGCATGCTTCTTTATTCCTAGTAATGACAGAATAAAGATATTAAGCATGAAAACCAAGTTTGAGTACAGTTGGCTGATTAGGCCACAGAGTAGGCAGAAAAGAAAACAAAGTGATTGTTTATCTTAATAGTCACACATGGAAGATAATCTGTTTGTCATCTGGCTATGATGCTCTGGAAATAATTTAGAAAATAAAAGTCCATTGTACGTTGCAAAAGATGGTACAGGCAACTGGTGAGTTAAGAATAATATTCAGAGCAGGCAATAACATTTACGTGGGAAAGGACAGCCGAAATGGTCTATAAAGCCAGGTTATTATGCTTCCTTGCAGGAAAGAGGCTGTCTGCTCCATCAGGCCCTTTTTAAAAACCACATTCATTTCAGGACCTGACCATATCTGGCACCAGGAAGCAATTAAGGATAGACAAATCAGAGAGGACAAAAATTCAGAAGATCAAAGCTCTACAGACTGAAACTGTGTTGTCCAATAAGGTAACCACTAGCCACATGTGGCCCTTTAAACTCAAAATCAATTAAAATTTAAAAAGCAGTTTCTCAGTTATAGCAGCTATATTCCGAGTACTCCCAGTACATGTGGCTAGTGGCTATCATACTGGACAGTTCATACATAGAATACCTCCATCACTGTTCTGATCGACAACGCCAGATTTGAAAGTGGACATTCCTACTGTTCAGAAAGACCTGATGAGAAATTCAGAACCAAGCCAATAGTATTACTCGTTAGGAATCATTAAAGATTTCCAATGTTGTTTGTTTATGTCTGGGCATTCTTATCAATGTAGCACTTTTCTTCTAGTCTTTTTCTTCTTTTTCCCTTTGATATAAGGAAAAGTAGAAAAAGAAAAATGGTAGGGATTCAGAAACTCCTTAAGTCTCTCTTATCCACGAAGTTGCACGAACTGCCAAAAATAAATACATTTTTAGAAGTAACTACTTCCCCTACCCTTCTTCCTTTTAAATAAAATACTAAAGGCAACTGGGGGGAAAAAAAAACCACAGAAGAAAGAGGAATTCAAGAAAACTACTCAGAACAAAATGGATAGCTATCCTAAATTACTGTTCCAAAATGCCTAAGGGAAAAGTACCGCAAATCAAGAACATTTCCAAAAATACACAGTGGGCACAGTTCAACAGTTCCACATTAATTTAGAAAGTTAACACCTCTTAAGAGGCCAAATGATTTTCTACCAACCATTGAAAGTACTGGGTTTTCATCAAGACCACACTCTGGTTCAACTGTCAATTCCTGGGCAAATAAAAGAATCACCTATGTCAGCTTCCATCCGTGGCATCAGTAAATTCCTGAAGTCATTTGGTTCTAAGATAGAAACTATGTCTGATAGTAAGATTAAAATCAACTACATTACTAAGGTTCTGTTGATTTGAAATTCCCTGTATACAGCCTTTTAAAAGTGAAGTAAAAATATACTTTGGGATTTAAAGTTGACAGTTTCAATTATACTTAAGAAAAGCAAACTCTAAGACTCATTCAAGAGCCAGGAAAAAGAAAGCCAGTCGTTTTCAGGCACTGGATTCTACTGAAACACTCATTCTATCAGGGCTTCAGTATTTGCTTGCTACTTTGCCATGCTACTGCTCTGTACCACACAGAGGAAATTTGATATCTCAGTGACAGAACAATTTGAATGCAAGCTAAAATTTAATCAGCACATAGAAACAACAAAACTGATAACCTATCAGCTTAAGAGACAGACAGCTCATATGCATTTGGGGGAAGGGGGTTGCCAGAATTAGGATACTGGGAAAAAAGAAACTTAAAAGGCAAGGCTTAAAGCCCCACTTCAAAAATGTTATGATGTTGCCATCTCTGACAATTACAGCTCTGGGAGGGTAGCTATGAGACAATGCTAAAACGATGCAGTACAGGGGGATTCAAGAAGCCAGGCAAAGCTGCTGCTCCATTTCATCATTATGAAAGAAAGGTACAAGAATCAGACCTCCCCTTTCTGCACCCAGCACATTCCAACCTCCAGACAGATGTTCAGCAGAGTTACCATCAGAAGTTACAAAACGTCATGCTTTCCCCTCCCTGTTCTCTAGCTTTGCCCCCTACAGTGTGCTCAATGTTTGTTTTACCACCTTCTCAAGCTCCTTCAGAATAGAAAAAGAAGTAACATCTTGACTCTCTGCCCCTGGAAAGGACTCACTCCTACGTCACTTCATCTAACTCATCCCTTTTCAAGGAGAAACTCAGATCATTAAACAGAAATCACCAATGCACCTAAACAAGGTAGGGAGATGATCATTTAAACCTGGATTAAGTCCTATTTCCTTCCTGGTAAGGACATGCCATTGGTAACTGTTCAAACGAGCATGTATAAATTAAAGATCTCCAGGCCAAGAAAGTAGCTTGTGTCAAAAAAAAAAAAAAAAAAAAAAAAAAAAAAAAAAAAAAGGCAACTGATCTGAAACCTACCAAATCTGCAAAATCTGTTCTGCATTTCATGCATACACAGCTCTACAGAATGTGTAAATACAACCAGCAAACTGTGCTAGGAGGTCACAAGCACTCCACACAGCGTGCACCACAGACACAGTTTGTAAATGTGCTACAGACAGTGTGGGAAATGGGGGCTGGCTCCAGTTCCAACCAAAGGGTAGAGCTAATGCATACCTTTAGGTCTTCTGGAATTTCCATTCTTTTGCTGTTCATCTTCCTCATTAATGGTGAATAAACCAAGGGGAATTGGCCTTGCACTGGTCTTCTTCAGTCTCTCTTGTCGGATAGCTGTAGCTGATCCAGGCATACCGCGGCTACTTGGTTTTTAATTATTATTATATTAAAAATATATGCTTATGTAATTGCAGCTCCCAGGAAGCTGCTAGTTTCCAAGCTGCCGGTTCATTTGAGCACTTGTAATAGATCCCCTATGGGTAAACAGTGTGCAAACAGCTGACAGATACTACCAGCCACTTGGCAACTGAGGCCCTGCAGTTCCCCCTCACCTAGCAGCAACCCCCCACCTCCCCTCCGCGCCCCCTCCCGCTTACTCCCCCCAGGCAAGTGGCTGGCTGGAGCTCGCTAGCTGGCACACACACGCTCACACAAGCACGCAGGCGCACTTTCCTTCCGGAAGAGCCCCGGGAAAGGCACGCAGGGTCAGAAGCCTCCTTCCACTGCCTAACCTGTTCAGTCAGATCCCAGCTTCTTCCTGCTGCGGCACCTTTGCCCAGGCTTCCTGCCACCGCACAGTAAGATATTCGGCACACGGCACAGAGGGAAAACCGGGATATGCTGTCCTGTAAACAGTTGCCCTGACAACCGGGACAGGTCCTAATCCGGGAGGGCTGGGAGCTGCTCCGGTCCACCTGGAAGCGCAGGCAGCTGCGGGATGCTGGTCGGGGGAACTCACCGCAGAGGTCTGGAGCAGGGGGGAGGGGGCCGCCAGCGCTGTGCAGCTCCCTCTTCCTTTCTTCTCCGCCCGCCCGCCAGGCTGCAGCCCCGGAGGACAACTGTCGCCATGCCCGCACAGGCAGCAGGGGACTCCCCAGGATGGGGAAGGGGACGTAAGGCAAGAAGTCCTTCTCTTCTTTGGGGGACCCGGTTTTCAATCATGACAATGTTTGCGAGTCCCTGGATGAAGGCATAGCTGGACGCCAATGGCTCATTTTGCACACAGTATCACATCGCAGCTTTCTGGAGGTCCCTATCACCCCAGGCTGGGCCATGAGGATTGACACTGCCACGCACCTGAGACATTCCAGGGAGGACAGGCAGGGGGAGAACCGTGCCTGTTCTCACCAAGACCACAATTTGGAATACCCCTTCTGCAAGTCAAGTTGAAAGGAGAGAAATGAGAAACTACAATCCACCTACTGGGGGGGAGGGGGGATCCATCTCACGGACACGCAGCCAACTCCCCCCAGTTCCCACTGCTCTGGGCGAGTCACTCCCAGCAGTGCTGAGCAATTCTTAACACTTGACCCACTTTTAGTTCTTTTTTGGACTCTTTTCTCCAAAGCATACAATCATGGGATTATTGTTTTCTTCTGAAATGAGCTTTCTCACTTAAGACTCTCCACTTCTAGGCTGCCTGAAATTTATGCTGTGTGTGAAAAAATTAAATTTATAGTAAGTGACACAGACAGATGCCTACTGCCAAATTGGTAGCTTTTGTTGCTTTTGTTTTTGCCTTTTAATCAAAATCAAGTCTGCTTAAAAAGTCCAAAACAATCCTCCCATCCCAGACCACTCTCCTACATTTTCCGAAAAAAAGGGCTCAAAGTCACAAAACCGCAAGATCATGACCTGGGCCAAAACCAAGACTTGAATGCTTAACCAAATGAGCCACTGAGGAGCCCCAAGCAACCTCTCTACATACTTTGGATGGAAGGATAACTTCTGACAATTCACTCAACTTCTCTTGGTGCCTTAGCTTTCACTGTAAAATTGGGGTGACATCATTTACCTTACAGGACTGGGGAGAGGATTAAATGAAGCATAGTGGTAGCGGTAAGAAGTGCTTATACATATCACCTGCTTTTACATTTTACACTACATCTGTTGTAAGTACTCCATTTTTGCTTCGTATTTCAGGTGTTTCCAGTTCAACTATCAAGGTTATGGAGCAATAATATTGTCCAGCCCACTGCTGGAGCTGTACTAGATGGTTGGCAAATCCATGCTGGAAACAAAACAAAACAAAACACTTCAGAAATCTTTTGCTCAAAGGCTGGGGGATTCAATTAAGAGTTAGATGTGTAGATTGGGGAACTGAAGGAAATTTCAGGTATTAAGTTTACTTAAAATCATGTTCACCTCTTTGATGAGTACCTGGAATAAAAGAGAATGGGGTTGAAGAACTGCATAGGTCTGAGAAACCACCTAAATCAACGTTTTACATGCAAGGAAAACCAAGGCGCAGGAGGTGCAGTTCCTTGCCCAGGTCAAACGTTACCCACCAACAAGTCTGTGGTGAAAACGTGCTTCTCCTTATGACGAAAATTCGGCCTGCATCGTTTAGGATCTTAGATCCCTCTCGCTAGCTTCTTACAGAGATGGCAAGATGTGGAGAAGGAAGGAAAGGGAGGATCCATGCTTCAAACATGCAAGATCTTGTTGTTTAAGAAATAAACAGTAGATACAACCTACTGCCATTAATTCTATTTGGAAATTCTATTTTTGAATTAAAGATGATTTGTTATTTCCTATTTATTTCTTTAATCAAAAGATCAGTGAGCATAGTCCAGTATTATACATATTTATGAAAATCTTTTCAAATCTAGTTTGTTTCTTCTACTTCCAGAGAATCAGGTTAGTACTTACAATAGCAACACACACACACACACACACACACACACACACACACACACACACACACACACACACACACACACACACACACACACACAGCTGAAACTACCTTTTGGCAGAAGAAGTGAAAAGCTATGTCTCAAGCAAACGACAAATTTCATTCAGAAATGTTTCTTACCCAGATACGGCTAACAGCTTCTGATCATCTCCATGGACCTAACAAAAGTATTACTGAAAGTGGTAAAGCTAAGGAAAAAGGGATCTTTTCCTTTATCTATCATCTTAAAAAAAAAAAAAAAGTTTATTTATTTTGAGAGAGAGTGAGCGTGTGTGCAAGTTGGGGAGGGAAAGAGGGAGAGGGAGACAGAGAATCCCAAGCAGGCCCGATGTGGGGGCTGGAATTCACACAGTGAGATCACGACCTGAGCTGATGTCTAACCAAACTGAGCCACCCAGAAGCACCCCCCTCCCCAACCTTCCGCTTTCAAATAAAAAAATGAAAGGATCGCATTTACGAAGTATCTTAGGAAGAAAATGAAACATCTTTCCAAGAGTGACTTTTAAAAAAAGCAAAGTGAAAGCTGAAACTCAAATGACTTCTGCAGAAGATGTATATTCCTTTACTCTCAAGGATGGCCTGGATGGCTTTTTCTCCTCTTTTACAGGAGAAACACAGCAGCAAAGCAAAAGCTTCCTAGCACTTAACTTGTCCAGATAAGATTTCACAAAGGAGCCCTCCCTGAGGTCTGTGGAACAGAGATCACAGAACAGCCCTTCTGGGACACAGAGGACTCTAACTGAGCCCACCTCTACCACACCTAGCTAATCAACAACTCTCTTCTGTTAACAGCAATGGAATATCCCTCAAATGACAGAGTTGGTACTCTTCTGCTCTAGGGTCTCATGGAGAATTTTGATCTGTATCAAAATGTGAAAGTCACCCAAATGGCTGTTTTGAAAGTTATGCCTAAACTATCTACTGGGGAAATGAAAGCCTAATCAAAGGAGGCCATATGTCACCAGCCATCCTACAACCCATGAGGCAGGGTGAGGTCAGGTCAAAGAATCCCAGTATCCAGAACATCTCCAGCTTTGTCAGATAAGTTTTATCTTTGTTAGTCACAACAGCACTGAGAGAGGAGTCATCGCCTGACAGATCAGGAAACTGAGGCTCAGGTTAAAGTCACACAGCTAGTTCGGTCACTGAGCCAGGATTAATTTGTGGGCCATCTGCTCTGAAGCTAAGATGCTTTTGTCCTGCTGCCTTGTAAATCCCGGTTGCAACATCAACTAGCTGTGTCCCAGTCACAGCTGTGACCAGTCACAGGGAAGCAAACAGCCCAAGATCAAATAATCATAATAAAGGATTTTTTTTTTCCCTATCCACGAAGTACACATTTAAGACGTAAATACATTTGAGATTAATTTCCTAAATGCTCAAACCCAGGATATAGGTTTTCAGCTTTATTTCATTTTGGGAACACCGGGGCTTAGTCCCTACAGAGGCATGGGGGCTTTTATACTCAGACCCAAAACAAAGGCAGATGTGGAAAGGGGGATGGCCAGACCTGAAAGCAGAAGGAATCCTACTCTGAATTCCTGAACTCTTCCCCAGCACTAATAGGTGTTTTCAATTTGATGTGGCACATGTGTCCGTGAATGTTACCTGCAGGTACAGAATCTCAATTCAGTCCCCACGGGAACTGGGGTATGCAGACTTGCAAGAGTCAATTAGGTTTTGCAACTATCGTTAAAATAACAAATGATGGATTAATGGAGACTTCGTACAAAGTAGAAAGAAATGAGACATTGCCTAGTGAGAGACGGTAGATTTTACAACTAAGCTGGCTTTACTAGAGAAAAATGTTTGCAGTATAATCATAAAATATATTAGCAGTCATATTGAAAATGATACCACTCGTCCACTATGAATGAAATAGGCCAACAGGTCCTTGAGCGATTGCTGTCCCCACCAATTCCCACCCCCAGCCCCTATTCCCTTAGTACACAATGAATTCATGTCTGTGTGTCCCTCTACCCTGGCTGCCTGGCGCCTCTGGGCCACCTCTAAACATGAGGTAGGGGAACATGAAACAGAGTCAAACTAACTGATCAGTAGGGGAACTCATCTCATGATTGGGACCTGCTTGTCACAATGTGAGATAGGAGAATAACCACATGTAGGCACATGTGTACACACACACACTTCAGGTTTCTGTTCACATTTATCCTTTGTCAGCTTTTATCGTATGTCCATAAGATTGGAAAATAGCACACAGTCCATGAATGAATCCAAAAATATCCTCTTGCAGAGAGAAATCTGCTTAACCAGTGAGAAGCATACCTAGATTTTTCCTTCTAAAAGCCTACTGAGCTTTACAAAAAGATCACTGAAATGGAAAAGAGCCTGAGTTGTACTAATCCAAGGACTGTAGCTGAAAATAGAAAATTACTACTGCTGGATTGAAGGGCCAGTCACTGGTAAATTACAGT